AATCTCGGAGCAGCCACGGGAAAACGCCTGCCTTAGGGGGCTCAGGTAGCAGCTGTTTTATTATACAAAGCTAATTTTATCGGTTTAACAGCTGTCTTACCGGTTTTTTGCATGAAGTCCTTTCGTTTTTTCGGTAAATACTCGCTTTGTGAGAAAGTGACAAATGCAAATTCTTTGAAATGCAAATTTCCAGTTCACTAAAAAGTAAAAGCATTGCCCGAGCGGTCGTTTCCAAAAAACCGCGTTCATTTACACATACGATTGCAATTAAGGTCCGAGTTGCGAACGAATTTTTGAAAATATGCAAATTTTTAGTTCATTGAAAAATTGAAAGTATCGCCCGAACGGTCGTTTTTCAAAAAATTCACGTTCATTTGCATATACAAATTGCGGTTCAGGTCCGAGTTGCTAACGATTTTTGGGTTCAGGAGTTGCTTGAGGCTGTGGTTGGGAGCTAGAGGGCTGAGTTTAAAAACTTTGTCTCGTACGTGCATAGAAAATATCCCTACAAAGTTTCAGCCTTCTACGTTGCCTGGTTCGCGAAATCGTTTCCCGCCAACAATTTCCTTTGGGGGTCTAGTGCGCGGGGTTTAGGCGCGTATGGGGGAGGATCTTAAAACGGGACGATGACACGCGGGGTAGGAACATATATCCGAAGTTTCAGCCCCCCAGCTTTCCTGGTGCTGAGTTGAAAGTGGGTGACAAAATGCACTCGCTTTCCGAACACACACGCACACAGACAGCCTCTCGACAATATGCGTTTTTGCTGGCTGTAGCAGCGCTATAGCGCAGCACAGCAAAAACGCATAAAAACCGGTAATCATGTACCTTGTGATCCATGAGGCCGTATAATGCGTTCATCCCAACTAACGCCCTTTCTCCTACATGTCGGAAGAGGTCAAAGCATAGTGTATCTAGAAATACAACAGTAGCATACAGCGGGCTGTTTCTGCTGTGCCAGATGCACGTAATAGTCGTAGGAACTAGAAGTGGGAGAAAGACTAGAAAAACTAAAATCGTCCTCCCTGCCCCCGCTCTCGCGACTTGCACCACGCTTTACCGCACCACGTCCAGCAGCAATCTTCACAACGTAAACCCTGTTCAAACCGAACAAACAACAGCACAGGTGAATAAACGAAAGAATACAACGAACAAACGGATTCCACCATTCAAACAAAATAAACGA